CACCACTTGGAAAAACAGGGAGAACCACTCTGAAGTAGCTGTTGCGGCAGTACTTCGCCCGAGGAGGGAATAACAGGGAGCACCACTCTGAAGTAACCGTTGCGGCGGTACTTCGCCAGACAGGAGATTCTCGGAGAAGTGGAACCTGGGTACTTGTTGCGGCAAGGTACCTGCTGAAGGCAGTGTCGACTTGAGCCCCATCCTCACCGGAGGCGCTGGGTATACAGAAGACGCCGGTTAAGGGCCACCGAAAGAAGGCACCCACACCTTGCCGAGGCTGGTTTTCAATCAAGGAAACGCAGATAGGAAGGACGATTGGTTATAGGCACCAAGCAGAGGAAATCAACAGCCAGAACGACCAAGCGCTCAAACGGGAGTAGGCAGGAGTTCGAAGTGACTAGCTGGGCACTTTAAAAAGCGAGCACACAATTGGTTAAGGGCCACCAAAGATCAAAAAGCAGGAGTGCGGAGTTTTTGTTACAGGAACAAACTCAAGCACTAGCGATTATCCGTGTGGTAATCCAGAAGAGAAGCCCTCATCTGAGGCACACGTTGAAGACGTGCTAAAGCCCTTCCCAGGGAAGGCAAGCAAGGAATCTTAGGAACAAGACAAGATTCAAAACGACTACTTTCTGAGAACACGACCCGGTATCTGAAGAAGATACACCAGAAACACGACCGGTGACTTCTGACGAAGAAGTACCACCATTTACGCTCAGTGACGCCACCACAGAGGAATTAACAGACCTCTACGACAAAAAGTCGACAGAAGCGGTTCAACTTCGACTTCAATTTAGGCTAGGACGAGCCTACGAACCAACAGATCGCCCAAGGCTAGAGCAGCTTGAGGGTGAGATCGAAGAAATCAGATAAGTTCTTTGCGGAAGAGAAAACTTTGACGAAGAATCGCTACGACTCTTTGACGAAGCAACAGAACTTCCACGAGGAGAATCAATCCAAGTTGAACGACAGGAAGGGCGTTCACAGGAAGCCGGTGGATTACAGCCAGTCAATCCTCTCGGAACTAGAGCAGTCCCGCTCGAGAGATCTATCTCGGACAGTACTACTCGACCAGATTATCCAGGAATCACACATCTCAGAAGGGACCAGCCACCCCACCTACCCAATGCACCTGGAATCACACGTTCAGTTTCAACCGGATCAAGACCAACCGGTAGCTTCCAGTTCTCAGGAAGTATGGCTACACACGCACGATATGACCCGGCTCTCGGACCACCAGTCCATCCCGGAACTTGCACCGACGCCGTCTGGAATGACTACCAACAAGCGTTGGGACTCTATGCACAATACCAGGGAGCAATCCCCAAGCAGCCAGCAGCGCGAGAAAAGAAGATGGGAAAAATCAAAGAGTTTAGGGGAGACAAACGAGAATATGCATCGTTCCTCCGAAACGTGGAACGATACCTACAGGCAAATGAAGGAGTCTACAATGATGACTTCAGCAAAATTGCCTTCGTCCTCTCCCAAATCGACTCCTCATCCACGGCAGGAAAGTGGGCCGAGTCATGGGAGGCCAACCAAATGGCAAAACACAGCAATCTTGGGACGTACCAGGATTTCAAGACGACGCTTACCGAAAAATATGGAGGTGTCGCAACCAAGGACCAAGCCTGGCAAGTACTTCTCGAAGGAAAGTACAAGCAGGACAAACAAACCGTCGATGAGTATATCGGAAATCTCGATATCCTCTACCGATATGCCGAAATCGACGACGAATACGCCAAGCTCATCCACTTCAAGCGAGGCCTTAGCGAGAAACTTGCAGAAAAAGTCTTCATCACGGAAAACCCGCCAACGACTTATGCAGCAGCATGCAAAGCCACAAGAAAGGTCACGGATCTCCAGGACATTCATAGCGGAAAGACAAATATCTTCAAGTTCATCTCAGGCTCTTCAGGAAGCGGAAGAAGGACAGAGAAGGACCCTGACGCAATGGACGTCGACCGGATCTCCCCAGAAACCCATAAGAAACGTTCTGTGGATGGACTCTGCTACAACTGCGGAAAGCCAGGACATGTCGCTGCACAATGCCCAAATGCAGAATACGATCCGGTACCAAATCGCTCAGGAAAGACAGCTTCATATGCCAAGACCCAGACGTCCAATTCCAGGACGAAGAAATACTCCGGATCTGGCAGACGAAGAAAGACTTCCAAGCCGACTAAATCTTACTCCAAGGGAACGGAGAAGAAACGTCGACGAGTAAAGAGAGTTGAAGAAAGCGACTCTGAGGATAACTCGGAGGAGTCGGAACAGGAAGAATCAGAATCCTCATCATCGGAAGAATCAGAATCTGAATCATCGGAATCTGAAGAAGTATCCGAACAAGAGACGGTTGTTCACAGGGTACGAGGAGCTCGCCCTGTTAAGACCAAGACAGTTCGCAAAATCAGACGAACTAAGGATGAATCTAGCGACTCAGAAGAAGAGTATGTGGTCCGGAGGTTCATCCCCAAAGAAGAACTTGCCAGAATACGACGGGAAGATGCACTCAAAATGCGAGGAGATCGTATTAAGAAACGCAATATGACGATGCCTCATCTCGACGATCTTCTGGAATTTGGAGATAATCCAGACAGATACGAATATGCACACCGATATCCACCACCCATGGAAAAAGATGATCCAGAGGGTTTTGGAATTGGGTGCGCGTCGGGATCTCGTGGCACCCAGACAAAGAAACGGTCCCTGAGGAAGTAATCA